GGGCATTTGCAACAAGATGCGAGCCTCGTAACATAACGATACTTTGAAATCACTGCTTTTAGGTGACTTCAAGCACCAGAGAGTAGCATTCTCTTCCATTTGAGAATAATATTAAAATAACTTAATTAGAAGCGATTAAAGTAGAAAAAAGAAAGGAAATTTAGACTTTCGTCGAGGCTGTTTCAGTCACAGTAGACGCACATACTACTTATAACTGCTAAAGCGCATATCTCCATATCTGGTATCAGGAACGAATGCAAACAGTCGGGTAAAATTCTGAATGAGTAGGCAATGGAGATATATGTCTAGAGTTTTTCCGATAAGTCTTCTCTTTTGTTCTCACACCTTGAAATAACCCAATAGAAGCAGATGTTTAAAGCTGTGGAAGACCACCTACAATACCACAGTTTCCTGGATAAATAGTTGTCATTTAATACTCCTCTCTTAGTTAAGTTATTAAAGTTTACATGATTTATAAATTAACTTAGGGGAGATTTTTGGGGCGTTCCTGACAGATTGCGGATTTCTTGGAATCTTCAGGCCAAATAGGGGCAAAAGTTTCTAACACATGTTTAAAAGTTCACTTGTAAACGTAGCAGACAGGGTCTCATTTAAAATTTAGAGCAAATTTGTGTACGATAGTGTACTTTTTAAACTGACTCTTTTACCTTTAAGAATTAATGGATAAAGGCGAACAAGTGCTTAAAGCAAACAGGTGCAAAGCTGTAAAATCTAAAGACAACACTGCTTGACAACTTATGATAGATCAACAATGTAGAGTCCGTGGCAATTTAGCAAAAGAAATCTGTAAAATTTCCAGAATGGTCTAGTTTTAAACCTTAGTTGGAAGTAACCTAGAAATATTTCGAAAGAATTCATTGGAAACAAGGAAATTTCGCCCATATATTAGGGTAATCTAGGAGCCCTACAAGTGGATAAAGGGATAAGCGCTCGACATTATCGACGTAGAGGTAGATTTTGAGGGTTTTTATACCTTCTCCTGCGTCACTTCTTACTTTTCTGAGCCTTTGAGTAAAGTGCAATTAACCGAAAGACAGACATAACAATTACAGCTAGAAAGTACCCGAATTCAACAGTAGGTGTTTGAGGTTCATTCGGCGAAGTGTACCGGAGCGACAGAATTTGGAGGTATTACTTACGACCTGCGAATTGTTGATATCCACACCATTTATTACACCAGTGGCTTATGATCAGATTTTCCTCGGTGCTCCATTTTTTGCTATCCATTAATCTCATTTTCACAAGGATTGGGTGGATTAAATGTTCAAATTCTGCTTAAAATTCGCCATTTTTAATATGGGTAACACCGAAATTTCTCTAAAGTTAACTTGAATTTCTTCCGTTTCGAAAGGTTGATTTAAATTTAATCACTCCTTAGCACAGGAATTAAAGGATCTATGTGATGCTGCAGACAATTGCAGGAATACCTTAGCCTTCTGCAGCGCTTCTGATTGTTAACAGAATTGGCGTGAGCGGTGCGCCACGCCATTCAGAATGGTGACTGAAACCAGGATGAGAGAAGAATCCCTATTGTCGAATTACGACATCCTTCTGATAATGGTTTTAACTTTACACATTGATGTTCACGGAATCCATGCAACGGGAATCCACTTGGCAGCTGACGCCAACACGATTTCGATTCTCAAGTAGTGCAAACGTGAAGGAGTTTTTGAATCACCCCCATTCGACACACCAGAAAGCTCTTCTTGGCGCGTAAATCTCGATTCATAACGCATAAATCTTCAGCAGTACAAAGGGTCTTGGATGATACGGCACTCATTATTCACTGCTTCATCTCCAGAAGCACACTGTGCAAATCTTTTGATTCTAGGCGGTGACTTGTGTCACCTCACATTCTTCAAAGGCTTAGCAACAAATTTTACAGGTTGTGCCGCTGTGCTACCACGTTGAATTGGATGTGTGAGAGCATGGTGAAGCGAACCGCGGCGATATTCGACTTCCGCGAACCCATATTTGTTCTATATTGTATCAACATAAACGTTTTTCGGGTTCCTGCAGGTTACACTAAGTCACTGCAACAGACTGTGCCGAAAATCCCATTAACCCCATTTAATTATCTAATATTTCATCACAATTGCTCCGACTAAAAAGCTAAACACATGAAATTCTGTATTTCACAAAGTTTTGGAGGAGAAGGATTAGACCCCAGCGATTAATGATAAGTTTAGTTTACAACGGAATATAATCTGGATCGAGAGCGAGACGTGATAATCTAACATTTCACCACGTTGAATGATACTGAGAATCGAAGCTATTGTGACAATCACTTTTTGATCGCCTGTAATTCAGCATTCATGTTGACGGAGTGAAGCCCACCTATCGATCTCTAAGGCCTAGTATAAACAGATCAGAGAAAAAAAACTTTGTCGTAAATCCAAAGATGTGTTATTCTCTCTTTCCCTCTCTCGCTCAAGTGTGTGCAAAGCGATCGTAATGCAACAAACAACTTGGACTGCGCGATAAGTGCCTGCAAGGTGGTGCCGAGGGGTGCGGCGTTAAGCTGGTAAATCCACTTAGCACTAAGCATTTGTCAAGCATTCCAACTACTCAGAAGATAGAGAGCATTTCAAAAAAATTTGGGAATTTGCCTTCTTTCGAGCAGAAAAATGTACCGTGATTTTACAAAAGGACAAACGCAGATACTCTCTATATCCCTAAACACCCCAATAGGGAACACTAACAATGTAGTTGGGTTTCTACCGAGAGCCTGATCTTGTACTGAACATGAAACAGGAGCAAAAGCCCAAAGCAAAGAGCATCAGCTAATATCCTTCTCATCGTAAAAAAGAAATGAGAATAGTTGAACAAAATTTTGTTGAAAAAAGTCACGGATGAACATAAGGAGCAAAAGTTGAGTTGCATTTTTCAGGCACAGTAACATGGATGATTAAATAATGCATAATTTGAGGAAGAAAAAAAAGGAAAGCAGCGTCCACTTAACCATTTAAATGATACTAAGCTAGTTAAGAAAAAAAAAGAGAAAACAAATCCTTCGTAAAAATCGTAGCACCGGATGCGGATAGGTTTTTACCACGACAGAAAAAACGCCTATTGTGGTGATGATTTTAAGGTTCGACCTGACAGGCTCATGAAGACAAGAGGGGTCAAATAAACATTTTTTTGATAAGCCTTTGACAATTTTTTCTTGCACCTTAATGTAGTGTTCAATAGTGTGAATCTGAAAGGCCTGAGTGGGCTCTGGTAAAGTTCCAACCCACCTTCTCACCGAAAAATAAGTACCCTACTAAGTCTAATGACCTTTACAGGCAAATCAACTTTCAGCAATGCAAAGTCTGCCATTTTATCTACTGAGAGAGTTATAACTCCGGGTACCAATGCGAAGTTGGTAAATTTGACAGTAAAAAGGGACTCTTTTACACTAAGTCTACAGAGGTCAAACTAAAAAACAGAAAAGCGAATAATGCTGGATAAAACCACAACTTTCCCAGAATAGTTTCAATCCCTGTATCATAATTCTGCATCACCTTCGTCTTTTCAGAAGGCGGTGTACGAGTTGGGGCATAATTTATACACGTACAGAAAGGACTTATGAGCTATCAACGGAAAATAGTAGGAAAAATAATAAATAAAAAGATCAGCACAGTTAAAAATTTATTTATAACACATTACGCCATCAAAATTACAATGAGAGACGTAGATGTAACACACATAGGCCACACCTTACATGAAACAAAAAAACGTTTGACATTTTGTGCGTAGGTCGCTACCATGACGTGTTATTACTTGTCAAAAAAAACCTGCGATGGCTCACATGTTTACATTATGAAGAACAGATATGTACATCACCGCATCGACACTCTCCGTCATTTTCCTGTACTTTGAAGCCCCATGTGATAGTGCCGGTTAAGGGGTTTATTTGATGAGATTTATGCTTCAACTCCAACTTCCAGTGATGCCGAAAATACCGTGGTGGAAGTCAAGCGTGGGGCTATTAACACCTACGCACACATTGAAAGATGACAACAGCTTCCACAGCCTGTCAGTTTGTGCGTTTTATATTTTTGGCTTATTAGCTGACTAATAAAATAAGCGACCTTTAATAAGAAATAATTTTTGCGTTGCTGAATTCTTCAAGCAAACGACTGAATCATTGGATTCTTCCAAACGACCCACCCATCATCCACTTCACATTTGGAAGGCGTTCATCATCTTACAATAAGACTGCATTTAGCTTAGACAAGTGGGTATGATGAATTGCCCATACAAACACTCACGCTTGAGAGATTCATCTACTCCATACGACAGCTTGAAAATGTACAAAGTAAGAAAAGCTTTAATGAAGACGCAAAAAAACAGTCAGGGCCTGTCAGCCAGTTGGAGGCAAGTTCCATTCTTCTCAAGACCGTAAAAAACTTACTCGTGAGAGAGAGGGAGCGGTATAACCTCATCCTCGGCATCCTGCTCGTTTTCCTCACATTCCTCCAAGCGCTCATCGTCACACCTTCTTGACATTAACTTTCGATAATTCCACGCCACGCTGGGAGCTGGGATGTGAAAGTTTGACAGAAACGCGACTCAAAGGCCTGTAAAAGTGAAATTTGTGGCAGATTTGTCTCGGTGAAAAAGGCATGTAGACTGTAATGCCGGTTACCTCACCGAACAGAATATCAGTCGATCCTTAGTAGTAAGCGGCTTTGCTACATTTTGATAGCAAAGTACACGAAAAATATTTCCTTTCAAAAATGACGAACAGATATGTCCCAGTCAATGAATGCCGAAATCTAGAGCCTTTCCATTATGTTTGGGAGACTACTTCATTAGGAAACAATGCGTCTGCCGATCGGTCATTACGCTAATTATCTTCCAAAAGTAGCGAAATTCGCTTCAAGGACAAATTAGCAGGACTTAGTCGATTGAGAAAATGAAATAGCAGATTGTAGGATGAGATACGCACATATATACAAGAAAATTTGGAAATAGAGAACATGAAGGGAAATTTAGTAATCGGCGAAGGAAAGGTAGTCCTTGCGACTCATTCCCACAGCAGCCTTATTTTGTTCGGCCTCCAGCTTGGGACAATGTGTGATGCGATGTCCGAGGCCACCGCAGTAAGCACAGCCCACCTCGTCACCGCTCACGCCCGCCAAGTGCTCGTCCACATGATCAGCAGAGAGCTCCAGCAGGAAATCTGGCACCGGCTGTCGCGCCTCTATGAGCAGGTGCTTTAAGTCCAGCAGGGTCGACTCGTTCACACTCTTATTGATAAAAGTAGTCGCCAAACCTTTCTGCTTGCCTCGGCCTGTACGACCAATCCTGTGCACTAACGGGAGGACAAGAAAAAAAAAGAAACGCTTTTATCATCACACCATGGACAACGTATTGCAATCAAAGCGACAAAAGCAGAGATACCACTGTCCCTTTCTCGCCATTGATAAGCAATACCATTTACCACTGTTGAAAAATTTACCGTTCCATTAACCAATGTAACTAAAACGTCCAGAGAATGGCCCGCCACGCACGGATGTTCAACTCAAACCGAGACTTGAATTTTTCGGCGTATAATAAGATGTGCTACTGTGGTGACACCACATTTTGAAGTAAATGCCAAGTACGCCCTATCATTAAGCCAGAGCAAGATGGTAGACAATAGAGTGCGTGCACAGAAGTGTGCGGTAATTAAGTTATTTTTGAACGGAGACGCAAAACCTACACGACTTCAAGCGCAGTACAGTTTAACCATGGAATACAGCAGCACTAAGAAATCTGAATGAAGTAAATAACGGCCCCGGCTGTAGTGACCCCCAGATTAGAGCCTTGTCAACCACACCTACATTACTTTAAAAGCTGGCTTACGTGCACGTGTGTAATAAAAAAAAGAAGTACATATTAGCACTTATCAAAAATTTTTCCTACATTTTATATGCTCAAAAAGTTCCGAATTTGACAAGAATACCCCTGTAGCATACCTCCCCGTCATCAAATACTCACAGATTAAGTTACCCATTACCTTACTTTCAATCTCAACCAAAACTGGAGTCACGATTATACGGAATAGCGTTGATTCGACTTTTGTAAATGTTACCAACCGTCCCAGTTAAGCAATCTAGGGCCAAATTTACCACTATGATCAAAGCGTACTAAAAATGATTCATTTAAGCTGTAGCCCACATTTGTCCAAAATGTCATTCAAAATGCAGCAGAAATAGCTACTATTACTAATTTATCTCCAAATCTGAGCCCTAATTTATAGAAGCCTGTTCTATGTGCATAAGTGTGGGCAAGGTACCCCGACCCCATGAACTCTCGACCATGGACTAAGCAAAATCCCCCAAAGACGTAGTCTGCAAATTAAATAAACAAAACTATTTCCACCCCCATTGAACAATTGCGTTTTCACACATGAATGTAATGTCAGGATAGGTTTAGAAAAGAGAGTATTTTCACAGTAGCAAAACAGTCCACTTTCATTGCCAATGCAAAGTTCTCACTAACAATTTTTCAAGTCACCAGATTCCTTTTCTACTATCATAGTGAATAAATCTATTTTGCAAAGGAACACGCGATACCGAGACATCAAGAGGATGACCATATCATCAAATTATGAAGTTACAGAAACCTTCAGAAACCACTTCCAATTTGTAAAATGTAATGTGATGACAGAGTTTATGATTTTGTTAAGTAAGCAGCTCCTTGGAGGTATATCAACCCTTTGATGTAATATGCAGAAATGCCCTTTTCGAAGAGTGTTGCTAACCCCGAAACACGCAACTGTTCAAAAAAATATCAAATTTAAATTGAACTTAATAATGAAAGATCCAACCACTTCTTCAATTACTGACGCCATTCCATGTGTGGCCAAGTTGCATAGGAGAAAAGCTTTGGCACATGTCTGCATATTGTGGAGACAAGCGCGAGTTTCAATTCCACATGAAACATGTCAGAAGGTGTTGCACATTTCAGATAGATTCCGGTCCCGAAAAACTCTCAAGATCGAATTTCTTGCCAACAGTAGCCTCTTTAATTTATTTGCTATCTGAGATTGTGAATATTTTTGAGCTCGTAAGAGCGAACTTACGTTTCGTTGCCGCATTAATTCCTAATTTTCGCTTCGCATGAAACGGTCACAGACCTACCCAAACCCTCGTGTTTGTGACTATAGTTGGGCGTCTAGAATCATCTGCACCTATCGTGTCAGTGATCATTTTTGAACTTCCAAAAATGTGATCCTAGAAAACCTCCGCACTAAGCAAACAGCTAGCAGTAAAGTAATGCACTCAGTAAAACGACTACCCACAAAAAGCGCACTATAGAGCACCGACTTGATTTCAGCTTTACGAACATTTCTACCGCCAGGAAATGACAATCCTTAAGACACAAACAGCTTGTCACATGTCTGTCTAAATGATTTTCGCATACCCGAATTTATAACGCATTTTAAAAAAAAGCAGAGTGATATCCCGCATAGATTGAGATTAAACAAATATTTAAAAGACAAGAGTCTTTCATAAATTCGTTTCAACGAACCTAAACACTTTCACAGCTAGTCCCAAAGGAAAGTCAACCACTACAGACCAAGAGATTCACCAAATTAGTTGTTATTCTAAAGAGAAACACAACAGTCTACAAGTTGGGAACACCCTACATCTGCATAATTATTTTACACTTAATAAGACACAATTTGACTGTACCGACAGTTGCAAAACTAGTTGTCACATAATGGTGACGCTGGGAACAGGTGAAAAAGATCGATGTAAGTCAAAAAAGCGCTCCCAAAAAACCTACCTCAAATTATTTGGCAAAATTAAAATAATCATTTTTGCAGTATAACTACTATCAGTTTAAAGTTATTTATTTCCAATATACCATGTTTATGCTACCCAAGAGCTCGAAATTTAAGAAAGGAGGACAACTTCTCCTTGAGGCCCAGTCATACCGAAAACGATAACTAACACGCTATCATTTTTAGAGACAATTGGATCGGTCAGTCGACTTCAATCAACCTGTTCAGATAGATTACAGTAGCAACAGATAACTTGTGATAAAACAAGTGCGCATGGAAAAAGAGATAACATCGTAATTTCTCACGATTATTATGCCGTACCGTTGGACCACTCGAAAACACATTTTCAAAGGCGTTTTCTATTAAGGAATAGACAATCCACTTCAGGATCAACTACTTCGATTGGTAAAAGAATTATCAGAATTGCCTGCAATTGGAAGGGAGATGGGAGGTGGTAAAAAGTTTGTGAGACACCCCACTAGTAAAGAACATGTAACTGTTTATTCGAGCGCATTATAAAATTTGGAGGGATGGGCATTAGTATGTCGATAGAGCATGTCTTACTGGGCAAACAGTTCAAATCCATTGACAGATGTTGCATCATGTTCAGGAAGATAATCTATTCTTGATTTGAAAAGAGGCGCACAAGCTCCAGTAACGTTTAACGCGATTTGTAAAACTACTCGTTTACACTTACTTTGGCTAACAAAGTCGCACAAAGGACGATGAGAGAATAGATCTGAAATGGCAATAGCCTTCAAAGACTCAATATGATCTTCACTTCTTCCACATAAGTTATAAAAAGGCCTCGAATCATGGATTGTTTACTGACTGAATTACGATGAGAAATGTTTTTTGTATACTAAACTACCTACCGCACCCCGCACTTTTAAGCACGCAGCACTTCATTCACAGTAGGTTATGCTTGTTTTGTGCGTCTGAGTGTGGCTGTCTACAGTTCAAATTTTTCAGCTGCACATTTTGTGTTTCGAAAACAGCTATGACAAGTAAATCAGAATGCTTGCAATGCACTGTAAGACCTTATGCCGCCGCAATGCTAACCGGTAAAAAGAGTTTTATGTTAGAAATGTATGGGAGGGAGACTGTGCCTCATCCTCACTTTTCCTGATCTCTAACGACTAAACGTTTAATAGAAGTGGAAATAACGTTTCGCTTTTGCCTTGATGGGCATTGACAGTTGATTTTACAAGTGAATATTTCAACGCATAAACCAAAACTGCGCTGTAAGAAACCCACGAACTTACTTAATAATCTTACATTGCTTTGCCACAGTTTATGAAAAAATATATCACGAAGAGGCAACTACTCCAAGTTGCATTGCATCGCTTATGTTTGGAGTATTTTGCGGGATTTCACGATTTAATGAGGAGGTAGGGGTGAAAAGTGGCTACCATGCTTTAAGAGGTTTTACCACTTTTTGTATGCTTTTGTAGACGTAAATGTGACATAACTCCCACGGGGTAACCAAGACGCTAAACACTAGATAAGTGATATTTTTTCACAAAACACCCTAGCAAAGTTGGCTAGCAGTGTACTATAATGATGTAGAATCAGGTGACACATTCATTGTCGATGCCACAATATATGATTTGGAAAAAAAGACAACTATTATCGCTTCTCACGTTTTTTTTACATATGTGCATATGACTTCTTTCTGCTAGCTAGTCTGCAAGTCCTCTAAGTCCAAAAATAAACCTTCAACTGCATAAACAATTGACGCAATTAATAAAAACAGAGTTAGAAACAGAGCAAGAATGAGAGGGGGGGGAAACATGGGAGGACAACCTTAGCCTGAATGAAACTTTGGTAGAATACATTTCTTTAAAGCAAGTTAAAATCTGGTGCAAAGAGAATTTGCATAAAAGCACGACGGGAGGCAACCACCACTTAAATAAGGGAATTCTTTAAAACCCGTTTAATAGATGAGAGGGAGGAACTTCTAGCAGTTTAAAAAGCATCTAGTTATGACAGAAACTTCCGCTCAACTATGCCTCCGCAAGTCGAAGAAGCCGTACAGAGGAAACAAAAACTTAAGGAAAAGGAGGACTTGCAAGAAAGCGAACCATCAAATTTTCAGTTTCCCAATCTACACCACTACAAAATAAGACATTTCAATCAGACGGAAAAATTACGCACCATAGTTTTCGATGTCTTCCGGCATGTCGTAGTTGATGACATGCATGATCTCGGGAAAGTCAAGACCTTTGCTTGCCACGTCCGTGGCGACAAGGACATCACGCTGACGTTCGCGGAACATCTTGACAGCCGTCACACGCTCCTCCTGGTCCTTGCCACCGTGAATCGACACCGCATCCACACCCTTCAGCAGAAGATACTCGTGAATCGCGTCAACGTCTTGCTTCCGCTCCGCAAAAATTATTACCTACGGACACAAACATATTATAAAATTTTGGAAGCCTCTGGCCAGACACTTACGAGGATCGTTCAAGTCCAATCGAATTTTTTAATTTTACAGGCGGGATATAAAAATGGTGCCACCGTGACAATAGTAAATCAAGTAATACGCGGTAAGCATTTTCCGATAGCTGGGGCACACAACTTGAGCAAGTTCAGTTTAAACACCGTTAATCACGATCGCAAGCAAAAGCGGCGGTGCGTTTATGAAACATCATGGAGTAAAAAAGCGCCTAGTAAACAAGAGCGTAGAGTCCGTGAATATTTACGAAAGAATACGAACACTGTACAATACGGTAAACGTTTCAAAGACGACCATGAATGACAATCTCAGTCCACCGCATCACTTACTCCTTTGAACATTCGGCCGGTAAGGAGAACGACAGATTTCCTCTTGGCCTACACAGTACAGTTGGAAAAGTACCCCGAGAAGAAAACACAAAATCTTCTAGACTGCCTCATTATAGATAACAAAAAAACTGGCTACACAATTTCACGTCAGGATTCAAACAAGCATAACCATTGCAAGGTCAGTGGCGGAGAGAAGCAAGCTGTCCAACTGTACCGACAAATCTTCCTATACCTAAGTTCCTTTCAAAGTATTGGCTAAGTGATGGGTGATGGGTAAATAAGTGTAGCAGGAGAAGCAAATACAGCTTTAATTCACGAAAATTTATTTTCTTTCTTCAAGAGATCCGACAGCTCTGGTTTAGCTTAAACGGCAGTAACGCCCGTGAAACCGGCCTAGACGACGGCAATGCAAGGCTACTACATGCACTGACGATAGTGCTACCTCCAAATTTCTCTGATTTATAAATTATGCGTAGTCCTAATCATACCTTTGATAATAGAACTAGCTATGGGCTCCTTTTTAGCCAAAATGGACTGTCGCCATAGTGCAAGCACTCCAGAAAGTATTCTAAATGAATGAATATGATATGGCGGCTGGAGCTCAAATGTCTAACCATCTCACAGAGAATGACTTAGATTTGAAGGGCACTTGAAGTAATTGTGATTAGTGTCTTACTCAGTTTTTGTTAAGAAGATCCAAGCATCAGCCCTGGGTTAGCAAAACCCATCGAACATACTTGTGCCACGTTGCAATTGAGTTAGCTCATGACAAAAGCATTCCACTATTTTACATCACATCTCAATAGTGGGTAGAAGCAGCCACACGCACCTAAAGCCACCGTAAGCTTTACTACCTAGTAAAAAAATCACAAAAATGAGGGCCACATAGGATTTTTCTTGTACGACTAAGGGGGCGTGCTTTTTACTATCTTGTCCGAAAAATGCAAATCACATTTAAACTTTTTACTGATCTACTACTTGTAGAAAAGCCGATAAAAACAACCCCACCTCACCACAAAATGCTCCCACTCCCACTTGTTCTTAACTTTTACATAATTTTCCAATTCATGGAATTATGAGCGTTCAATAAAATGAATGTTATTAACAGAGGGACACATTTTAGGCGTGTTGAATGTATTAAAGCAGAACTCTTGGAGTCTTTACTGCGGCCACAAATTGGATGGTCTGCCAACAAACCGCCAAACTCTTGATACCCTTCTCAATAAAACGCTTTAATGAAAACAAGGATGTCTTCGTTGCCCAAAGAACATTGTTTTGACTGACTTATACACATTAACGAAAAAGGCGTTTCCAGTAGAGTCTGATTAAATTCCCAAAAAAAATTGACATTTTATGTGTGAAGAAGTTTGGATTATAGGCGGTTGACACATTGGCTACCAGCTAAGCCAGCCTACACTGATTTTATCTATGCAATCAATCAACTAACCTGCAGTTTAAAGTTTTCATGAAATAATAAATAACAAATTACGTATTTGCAGGAATATATTAATGTCACATACGCGCAACGGTGGTAGCGAACGTGTTAAATTTGGCACGAAGTGACTTCAAACTAAAGTACAAAGGGCCAGACCCTCCCAGCACTTATTCTCTGCATCATCTCCACGTTTCGGAGTGCACACTTCAAAAGATTCTCAAGAGGGATTCATATTTTACTTTTCAGCCCACGTATGCCGGCAATACACGCTTGATAATGTAAACAGTAAAACTGGATAAAAAACTCACAATCACACAGACTTATGTCGCATACAAAAAATTAACAATATTAAAACAATAAAGGCACTTGATTCGCTCCTAATCGAACCAATCTCGGAATCTAAAACTATTGCTTTGGTCTTAACGCTTGGCTTCTCGACGAATTCAATCAGCATATTAAATCCAAAAAAGGGCTTCATAAACCCATGAACTAAGTGATAATTTAAGATGAAACTTCAAATTTAGCCTAATTGTGAACACATCAGACCAATTGGTCCTTAAAATATTGACGATAAGTAAAGATTTCCCTGCCGGTAAATATCGCAGTCAGGTAATGGACAGGAGCAACTGATCCGTTAAAAGCATCTTACCGGTGGAGGAGTCTTCTGAAGAGCTTCCAGTAATTCCGGAATCTTTGTCTCATGTTTCACGTAGCAAACCTCCTGAATAACATTCAAACTCGCAGCGCCTGCTCGGCCAACATTCACAGTAACTGGTTTCACCAGCGCCGACTTGGCAAAATTTTGAATCTTTTTTGGCATTGTGGCAGAGAACAAGAGAGTCTGTCGTTGACCCTGAAACACGACACAGTTCAGTAAGCACAGTTACTAAAACAATCTAAGCATAATAGCCATAATCCTCACAATACCCTGAAGTAGGAGAAAATAGTTCGGACCTCCTCTTCAAAGCCCATATCGATCATGCGATCGGCTTCGTCTAGCACAAGGTACCGACAGATCTCCAAATTGAAAATCTTCTTTTCTAGCAGATCGATGAGGCGACCAGGGGTGGCGACGAGGATATGAACACCAGAGCGACGAAAACTGTCCACCTGATCCTTAACTGCCATACCACCGATACAAAGGCCTATACGGACTTCGGGGTAGCCGGCGCGGGCTAGCTTGGAGGCCAAATGTGTCAAAACATCCTGCGTCTGACGTGCCAACTCGCGCTGACAAAAAGATTAATGGTCAATATGAGTGGAAGTCTTACTCACATCTATGTTACCATACTGAGATACAGTTCCGCTTAAGAAGATAGATAGTTTTTGCACATGTGATAAAAAGATAGTACGGGGACCGCAACGGAGAGAAATGTACCAACAAAAACCCCGCAACTCAAAATGAAGTAGCAAGAGACGTGGACCTTGATGTAAAACAGTTTTATTAAGAATGCCGGCGCCAATAACGAGTGGTTAAAACGATGTTCAAACATATTCAACAGGACCCATTGTCAGTTAGTATTTAAGCATAATCTCATTATGATGATGTTTTGCCAATATAGGATTCAATTTAGGAACGTCCAACAAACACGTATCGTCAACAAATCTGGGCGCATGAGGCTAGAATAGAAAACGGAATGTGTAAGAGAAATGCGTGCAGGATAGCCAAGTAGGTTTTTGCGTTCATAAAATGTTTTGCTCAGTGAAGTAATCAGTATTACCATCCAGTCCTTTTCCAACAAGATGCGTCTGCTCCAAACCCAACTTTTACAGAACGCTATGTCCTAAACTACCTCCGTTTCTACCAACATTTACATTCCAAACTCCTATACGGAAGAAAGCTTGATGATTAGCGCATGGAGGAATGGGGGAAAAAGAAGCGGGATTAAGAGGATGAGGCCATATCTCCCCTCATTACATCCGATCCCATCCCATTCCGTCGCAGGGTAGAAGTATTCTCACAAGTAAATTTTGCGTTGACTTGAAAAGAATGGGACCTACTTTCAACCAACTGGCTGGTCCTGATCATTCTTTCCGTCGTCATTGAGGCTTTCTTGCCTTGCACACCTTCAAGTTGTCGTATGAAGTGGGTGAGTCTCTCAAGAGTGATTCCTTTTAATGTGCAGTCCAACACACACACGCATGAACGAAGTCTTCTAGGGATGAGGTGGTGAGTTTCTTAGATGCATGAAATTGGCAATAGGTAGATTACTTAGAGAAAACAGATGATTTGCTTGTTTGCTTTGCTAATTTTGCATTTCAAAAGCCATTTATCATCGTAGGTCAGTCAGCAACCAAAATAAAACACGCCGTGCTTTCCGCCATCGCACCTTTTCCAAATGTGAGACAGAAAATTCTACGAGAAGCTCGGACTGGTTTAGAACCGTTTTGAAGTAGATTTGTAAACAGGACAAACTTTAAACACATTCATCAGGACAAACCAACCTATTATGATAAGAGAGTGGTTTAAAAATAGGAGGAAAACAGAGAATACAGTGAAAGATACTGCAACGATAGACTGCCGCAGACCCATCCATGGTTTACAATGCAAGTACATAAAAAATCGAATCTATTTCACAAGTTATAACAAGTCATTGCAACGAAATACACCAAAAGCCACACAAATCTGATATATTTGTAAATAGAAGAGCAGTTTCTACCTTCAATGAATGTCTTAAAGTCAAACATGCCAATCGAATAGAGACCAATTAGTAAACTGCATAACAAGCCGGACAAATTCAGTTGCAGAGAATAACTAAAGTAAATTATCACAGCTGTCAAAGAATTAAGACACAGTTTGAAATAAGGCAACGCGCAACTAACGAACTACCTCCCCTTAAAATCAAACTATTTTACAAATAGAAAAGCGTTCAAAATATCCCATATTGACAGTACAGCAGACATTCACAGTTCAAAACACACTTGAAGAATGAAGTCAACGGCATCAGGGAAAAACTTGAGGTCAAAGGAAAAAAGAGGATGACAGGCATACAGTTGAGGTGAATGATTCCCACAAATCGTTAAGGTAGTACCAGAAATAAAGAGTGACAGTTGATATGGCAGACTGAAGTGAAGAAGGGTTAATGTGTTGGACGTTTATTGGGAAAGCACTACGGAGGAAAATACTAAATGAAGGATGAATAACTCAATTAATGACCCACTAGTATAATATGGAGGTGATTGCAGTCTCCCCGCTTTGTCCTCCTCTTTGGTGGCATGACCCATTGCCTCCCACCCCTTCTACATGTTAAATAATGAATCCTACATCTCACTAACTTGTCATGACTTTAGGGAAGACTAAGGACGCAAAAATTTAATCGCGATAGTTTAATTGGAGGCATATAAAAGTGATCAGATTAGCATGCTGAATGATCTACTTTCACTGTAAGATTGAGGGGAATTCAACGACAAAAGCGAGGTGCAAATTAGAGGAATTACTTTGGCAGTCAGTAACTCATAGAACCATTTTGAACACTGTCAGAACTCGGTAGCAAACAATAAGAAAAATTAATAGAGATTACTTTTTCACTCGATTTCGAAGTATAATTTTGACCTCATGATCACCACCCGAGGCTAATGATAGGCCGTAGGTAAAGAGTGCACTTCATTTCTCCATTTCAGAATTCTGAGCACTATGTCATTCTTCAGTCAAAAGTTTGATGTATCCGATAACAGAAAGTTATTGCATCTTCACCGCGCACCTAGCTTCCATCATTTCTGTGACTGGTGAAATGCGTGAAATAGCTCATTTGTATACTAATAAAGCATGAGTAGATATACCAATCTATCGATATGACAGGGCTTATTGTGCTCTATTGTTTTCCTCTTATTTTAAGTCCACCTGACGGAAGTAGTTTAAGTTTGACGTGTCGGATCCAAAGCTTCACAGGCTTTGATTCCGGCGATGGATCATTCAAATAGATGGTGCATCATGTCCAAGAAGGCCCTCCATTCTTGCTTATATTAGAAAGGTATGTGCCATCAATCGTAAACTAACGTTTCAAGAACATCCCCAAGTAATGCTTAACGTGAGCGATGAAACATTTCATTTGTACCTACGTCGATTGGAAAGGGGAAAGTGGAGGTAGAACCTGAACAAGTGAGTACTACCTACACACGTTTGCAGACGATAATACGGTTCAAAAACTAGTCATTTGTTATTTTTCACTCCTCTTAAGTAAGCTATGAAAACGCTCAGACCACCTTAGATCCTTTGCTCACTGACTTTCTGACTGACAACAATGTGATGAAAAAGGGCTTTGTGCCTGTGCATTGCTGCGTTCGTTAAGCGAAAGCAAATATCGTTGGCCATCCCAAACGATCTAATCGTCAATCACTCAATAATTCTGAGGGGTATGACTTATGTGTAAGCGGACCTGAAGAGGTCTTACACAGCCATTAAATTTTTCTTAATAAATAGCTGAGCCAAAGTATTTCGTTAACACGAATTGGATCGAATGTGAAGGGAATAGCATGCTTTAACAGGGAGTCAAAGCTGTGAAAGATTAACCAATTGCAGAATAAAATACTCATGGCAAAAATGAAGGTAAAATTGAGAGATCGCAAAGCTATAACTAGTCGTAATGGACTACTGAAGAAGAGAAAGCGAACCTAGATGCATTAATATAGTGAAATTTTACAATGTCTATTGGTCGAAACTGTAGTTCCATTCAATCAGAAAGATCTGCAAATAAAAGACAGGAAAGCCAGTTTCGGAAATATGATCAAAAAAGGTAGAGGAGTGATTTTGAAAGCAACGTTGCGAACGCTTCTTAATCAGAATGATAAAAACACCACAGCGCCATAAGCAGCTGCAAACAAGGAAGTATGAAAGAATTTCAGGAAAAAAAACGAAAAAAGTAGAGTGGAAATGAATTTAGAATTGATACTTCAAAAGAAACTGAAAAAGTCGTTCCTAGGAATAGGTACCATTAAATACAGACTAGAAATATTACTAATACATCCTAATTGTAATAATAATAAAGCAATAAAAACTTACGGAGGGCCCAAGAATGAGGCCATAGGGCCCCTCACTGGGAAGGAAGGGGATTTTGGACTCTTGGTCCAGAGCGAACATGAGGATGGGGAGAGCAAAGACCATGGTTTTGCCCGAGCCGGTGAAGGCGATACCAATCATATCACGGCCCGAGAGAACCGCAGGTAGACCCTGCATCTGAATGGGAGTGGGTTTGACGATGCCACGAGAACGCAATTCTTCCACCACCACTCGAGGGAGGCACATCTCTGCGAAAGAGCGAATTGGTGGGGGCACCGCTTCACCCTCTACAAGTATGCGGTAGCGCTTCCGAATTTGCTCCGACTTCTCTTCTGATTGATTTTCGAGCCATGGGGCTGGTCGCCACCTGAACATGCACGTAAATAAAAGAGTATTATCAGGGCCCAAAACGACCCAAAGTGCCATCCAAAATGTGGTTTCTTGGCTTCAGATGCAAAAAATAGGTAAAATATATCAAAATCAGTTGCATAGTTTTTATAATGGCTTTATAATGCATGATTCTCTCCACAAAGTACAAACATATTCAAGTTTTCATTTTTTACAAAACTTTGAATTCAAGAAAAAAGCTAGTCCTAATTACCCCCATTTCGACCTCGCTTTCCTTTTCTCTCTCTATGGCACAAAACTGCCTAATACTGGTGCTAACATAAGGTAGCAATTACTTGCAGTTTTGAGAAATATCACCAGGTGAATGTGGATGATGATGATGCACTACCTCCCTCTCATCCCATCTTAAATTGCAGTGAGGCCTTCTACAGATACGTTTTGCATCAGCATGAGGTCCTGCATTGCCTTGTAGGAATAGGACTTCCAACTGATTAACTAGTTCTGACCGCTTTTAAAAAGGCGTTCATTTTTTCCATCTTCGAAATGTAACCCGTTGAGTCGATAAACTTCAGCAAATGAACGATTTGTAGTGACCAATTCTGTCTACAGCACACACGACCACGTACAAAGTGTGGTGACGAATGCCTTAAAAGTGGGGTTTGGAAAGTGATGAGCGAATGGCTTGAACATGGCCAAAGATATGGTCTTTAATTTAATGAAGGTTGTAGTATGCAAACACAAAAGTCATTTAACGTCACAAGTTAGTTTCACGGTAAACTAGCGAACAAACCATCCGAAATTCTTGTTAGCACCTGTCAATGCAAACGGCTGAGACCCATTTGTTCAGCTTCTTTGCGCGACTGAGTTGACAAAGGTGTAGATGAATCGCTGCACTACTTATGTCAAGTATTACTTAAGTGTTCATGACATTTCGAGATCAACAACACGTACTCTTCTATTTTAAGTAGGAATAGAGAGTCTCCTTGAGCAATAATAGAGCATCTATCTTTGAACCCCGCTTTACCAGAATCAAACTGTTTGAATGGTTTGATTCTAGACGGTGTATTTTACTAGCCCATACAGCACTCTACTCAAATATTATGCAGTGCCTCTGCCGAAAAGCATGTAAAGCTTTGAATGCAGGTTAAACTGAGCTTGAAAAGCAAGAAATTTCAAATCACATCCGACAAGAAAGTTCAAAAAAGGGAAAAATAGCAGACCCCAATAAAGTGCGTCGTACTGATAGAATTGTGCATATCTGCAAGCAAGCAGCAAGCCATTGGATTGGGTTATGTTGAAAGCTGTACGAGCTTTTAGCCACCGGATACACAGAGAGAGCTCCTTTTGTGAAACGCTGCGACGAAGTCATCCATTTGCATCAAAGGTTTGCTCGCCTAACTTGGGCTGTAAACAAATCATCTACGGGACCGTGGCAACATTACACTTTTGCTTGTTGACAAAATCAGGCCCAATCATTTGAATTTTAAAATACGCGGTCATTTAAAGTGGAGATCTACAAACTCGTTTCAATGAACATTAAATAATAAGAACATAGTAAGACACGTCCAAAAGCTGAGTGCAAAACTTGGCAAAGATCAGGCAAATAGGACCTAACCCACTTCTTGAGCAATCGTGAATTGATAAGTAAGCAAACATGAATTGTACAAGTGCATAAATTTGCATTTGCTACATATTTGAGTGTATTGGCCAGTGATGTCAAAAGCTGAGACACCAAATTAAAGTGTGGAGATGATCCAACAGAAATTTTTAAAAAACCGACCCCCACGCTATTTTAACTCAAATACTTCGACCTGTTTAGCTAACCATCACGAGAATTAAACCATGAATCAATCAGAGGATTTATGTTGAACCAAATTGTCAACACAGGTAAAGTAGTAGCACGTAACGGTGCTAGCCCGAAATACCACAAATTTGGGCGACAGCAGGTCCACAATTGAAAAACAAACTGAGTTTAATCAAGGAGAGAATATGACGCTAGCCTACTCATAAGCCACCAGCACAGCCCAAATAGTTGGCCTTAGGAACGCTACCATGATACAAGGAAAGGAAACTGGTGACGAATCGAATGTCAGCAAGCAAAAAGAAAAAAGATAATACTAAGTATGTTGGCTATTTGAGACTAATAGTAAGAAACGCTGAATGTCTAGCTATCAAAGCTGTATCAGAAAGTACATAAATAGAGGCAGAATTACCCAGTTTGGACGGGTTTGTCATAGTGGATACCCATTGCAATTTCGCCAACGCCCTTGAGGGCGGTCTTTTCGGTGACACTGTTGAGAATGAGGGCCTCCTCCTTCAATTTCTTGTCACGTTCTGTCTCCCTCTTTTCTAGGCAAAAAAGGAAGAAAAGACGGGACAAATACACCTCGATCCTTAAAAAAGGCTAGCTCTTCTAAAACATTTAAGATAAGTCAATAAGGTATATGGCTCAGTAGTTTAGTCTGAAATGCAAAATACTCCCAAATTCTGAAGGCTGATTTGACAAGAACTGTTAAATTAAACTGCATCAAAGATAACTACACTTCAAAAGAAATTCAACCATTACCAAGGAACCATAACCTTTTTTAAAATATGGAGAAGACGAAGCCATGACAAAAGCAATTTAGCCATTTAAAGGTCCATCTAATTTGCGTGCCTGAGAAAAACTCCTCCATAGCGATCTTCGTTAACCAATGTGTTAATAACCGCTTTCATTCGTTAGCAGAAGGTGCTCGTGCATTCCCTTCACTGGGCTAGACGCGTTTTTTCTCCCAAAAGGAAAAATATCATTTGACTAGTCAAATTTTAAGCGATAAATAATCACTTAAGTTTTACAGCGCTAACACATGCAAAGTATTTGAAACGGGTTTGATGGTAGTAAAGTAACTAACGGGTCTCACACCAAGGCGAGATATCCAATGGGCTCGGGAATAATTCCATCAGGATTCCCGAAAATGGAGTTTTGCGAGAAAATCATTGCAGCAAGGGTTACTATTTTATCAGGCAACTGGATAAACTGTTGTAATTTTTAATATAGGACGCTCGTATAACATCCTGTGAATTGTAGGAACTTTAGGGATGCATTTGGTTCTCTCCTCTTATTTTTAACATCACTCATACTATGAAAAAAAGTTGAACCTGATCGATGTAAATCCAGCAAGTTTACTTTAAGAAACGAATTTGACTCAGCTCTAAAGCTGCACAAGTTTTTCACCAAACTTGCTACGTAGTACTTAGATAAGGCGTTAACAATACGGTAGTAGAACGTACCGTCTAGAATCGAACGGTTCGAACGGTCTGACTCGGGTGATGAACCATTCAGACGGACAGATTATTCGAGAAGACCTCTCGCTTATAATAGAGAAGTACGTATCGCCAATCTCGAGTTAACACGTCATGGGCAAGTTCAGGTAACGCTTGACGTAAGTAATACAACAGATCGTTTACCCCTTCATCAACTGCCAAGGCTGCTGAGGAAGCTCAGCAAATAGGTCTCAACACAGATCGTTCCAATAATGTGTTAACAGCTCAGGAATGGACAGTGATGCGCAGCAAACAATGCCATTAGAGCAAGGAATATCTACACTGGAAATTCATGCTTAATCACAGAGGAAATCCAACGTTACTGTGTATTGGATGGACCATTACATATACACTATTAGCACAATACCGCCCCCAAATTGTCTTAGGGTAGCACTCGAGCATTCCAAGCTCAGTGGATGAATCCCAGACGCATAATATTGTTCTGATAGAGAATTATTTAAAATTGCTGGTCGAAACTGATTCCTCAAAGATCAACATTGTAGCAGCCTCTGAAGCATGTTTGAAGTCGTTTTCATGAAAGTATTTGAGTAACTGTACAAGCTCGCTGTAATTTCCTTACAAGATCATTCTACTTCAAAAAATATAAACAAATTCCTAGCTTCTTCAAGATTCTACTTCATATCCACAAAAAACCTACCCATAATCAAATAATAGGCGAAAATTGTCACCTCTGCCACCATAAAGTGTGAGTCAGGCCTGGTAGGCCTACAATGTTAAAATACTGCAGCAAAATAAGCAGTTTTTCTATTCTTCGGTAAATAATGAGAAGGAAAAATGCTAGCGGATAGTTTATTCCAGTATCAGGCATAAACGTGCAACTCCATTTGTGAATAAACACTTCGAGTAGGATTCTGACAGTCGTTACCCTTCAGAGTGTTTGTGCTTTACACCACGAAAGAAATCTGTGCCGTCAAAAACCGGTATTAACTCAACTCCATGAAGTCGTATAAAGTTACTTGAGAAGGCTGAATGATTTTGTACTACAACCATGAATTCGTCCACATCGCTCTGGCTTCTATTGAAGTTATAATTCAACATTAAACAAGCATCACATTATCAATTTAACGCAATTCGTCCACTTTTTTGATGCACTTTCCACAACACTGCCAACAATTTCAATCGATTTAAAAAGTACAATTAACTGTAAGTGCTATAGAAACATAGGTAACGCTTGAGAGGCGAATCAAGTTAAAATTCAGAACCTATCTCGACAGCCCCAGTGATAGGTATTAACATCATCATGTAGTATGCACTCAATGCACGCGTATACAAGTAAATGAACTCAGAAAGAAAAACGCTCCATGACCTACTTTGTGCCCGCTTTTGGTGCATAACTTAGCTGTCTAAAGTCAAAGATAAATGGTCATGCCAAGAGGGAAGAGAGATAGTTAAACACAGAGAGCCTTGTAATTACAATTTGCGTGGCACAGATTTATGTAGACATAAAACTCACCTTCAGCCTGTTTCTTGAGCTCCCACATGGTGTCAAAGAGGCTACCCTTAGCCTTGGGACCAGCAGTCTCCTGTCCATCTGCCTCCCCATTGGTCTGGCCCAAGGTCGAGGAGGGCAAAGCGGGACCATCGGGAGTCTTCTTGTCAGTCGTATTGTCGACAGTCGCTGTAGCGTCTTCGTGATCTGACTCCGTGGGTTCAGAGTAGGCTAGATTCCCGAGGGCCTGACGTATTGCGTAGAGCTGGAAATGCATGCATGCATAGCGTAAAACGACATTTGTCTCAATGGTTCATCCAACTACGTGAATTTCTCGGTCTTTATGGCTCCAAACAACAGTTTAGTGGCATGGATATTCATCCACGCCCAATAGTCTTCTTGTCCTTCTGTATGTCAACAATGAACCTTCTTCCATCCCAGTACGCCTCATGTCTTCAGGAATGAATTCAAGTGCTAAGAGCACGAAGAACTGGTTGTACAGCGCATTTTTAGCTAAAATGACCGAAACCTGATAAACTGTATAGATGTAAACAAGTACACTAAGTCAATTATGAATGAACCAAGGTTTATCATTATTGGAGTTTATGTAGTCAAATGCGCCTCAAAAAGTCGAAAAAGAAAGTACCCTGACAAAAGTACAAATTACTCGGATGGAGATAAGAAGTAAACAAATCGTGATACGCGAGAACACATGCTCATTCAATGTAGCGACTGAGCTGTGAGAATCGCGGCTAAGCTAAAGTTAGTAAGGTATGGTACACCAGATAAAAGTAGAAGTGGATGAATGAGACTAAAGGAATTGCGAATAAACCCAAACACCGCATCTAACAGAATATTAACCACCATATTTGTTTTTTTTAGTTGCATCGTATCCATTTCACTCAAACCTAGGAACGGATGTTAGCAGAAATATTTGCATTCTGATCGCAAACACCCCGAGAGTGATTGAAGGTGTAGTAGGCTAGTAAGTGTTAATTCGTAGTCAGCGATGCTACTTCACGACAGTAAGCCAAAAGGTCAAGTGCTTCATCGATAAAAAATGCAAGTAGATGAAGAGTTTGCAATAAGATTTACCTAATATCTTCACCCAAGGTGAACAATTACCTTTTGCTTTCTCCTCTGTTTCAATGGCACATACGGCACATAGTCATCATCCTCCGACAGAGGGGAAACATCAGAATCATCCTTTGGACGCTTCTGCATACGGGAAAAAAACAATAAAATAAGTGCTTTTCAAAAGTCAAATGGAATGTGGCAAACCACGATAAATAGGAAACAAGGCAGTGAAGAAAGACAAGGTGGCCTAGAAATCGAGTTGGTGTACAAGGCATGTGACGAGGTGATTATGGGATAAGCCACACGAAAGAAACCAGTGACAAGGAAAACACAAGAGATTAAATGCATATATGGGAGACTATGGATGTGACGAGTGAGTAAGCAATATACCCATCGAAGTAACAGATTTTTTGACATGAAATCAACAAGCAAGTCATGCGTATTCCTGATGCAGCGTGACTGCAAAGATTGCAATAGTTAGTCTTCAGAAACGTACAAACACTTGGCACAAATGTTACGTAAATATACGTGCCCCAAGGTACATGACCGAGACATACCATTGACACAAAATACCCATTAGTGGCCTTGAAAATCTCACGATATTACCCAATAGCAAGACGCTAAATATCCGTATCACTATATGATGCCAGTAAGTTTGAAAAGTCTTTGATATTTCTACCTATTCCTTTCCATTTTTTAACTAATTTCATTTTTTTTGTTTCAAATACAAGTGGTTACAAAAGTTTTAATAGGTTTGAACAGAATATCTGCAGCTATGCACTAAACACAGCTCTCCAATGTTTGGCTAAACTAAGCTGATTAATTCGTTTGCGTTGATGCTTCAAGTCAGGCTTGATGTCTGTGGAAGAATTCCCTTTGGATAAATATGCTCTGGAACTTTGTGTTATCAGTCTCCTATCTCTTGCGGGCTTTTTCATCACAAAGTCTTTGCTAAATTCGTTTGGGCAAGTATTTATCAGGGCTGGTCTGCATGGAGTTGATATGAGCAAACCAAACAAACCTCTTTTGTACGCAAAAGTTTCACCTATTTCATATATTTAGGCCAGAAGCTCAAGGCGTTATTGCAGCAACTGTGTACATTAACTGTATGTTTCTTTTCATCCCGCTACCATTTCGCCTCCACATTCTTCAGTCCCTGCGTTGGTATAACCCCAAAAGCAGTTTATTCATTTTTGCTCAACCGTCTTTGTCCGACACCGACATTATCGCAGAGCAAGCCGTTTTGTTTAAAACTAGAGTAAGTCTTTTTCTACGTTCCGATTTTTACTTATAGCTCATCCCATTCCTAGCTGCTCTTCTTTCGATTTGCTGCATGGTTTTCCTTGGATTCGCAGATGATGTCTTAAATCTACGTTGGCGTCACAAGCTAATATTGCCGACTTTATCCAGTCTCCCGCTTCTAATGGTCCATATCGCAAATCTTGGAACTACACACATTGCCGTTCCTTTGGTTCTTCAGCGCTTTCTCGGTACTAGTGTCGATATAGGTGCGTTTTGTCCCTCCATCTCATATTTGAGTAAGTAAACATTAAATTAAGCACTGAGCTACGGTTATATTTCTTAAGACAGGTTTTTTGTACTATGTCTATATGGGAATGCTTGCCGTCTTCTGCACCAATGCAATTAATATTTATGCCGGAATCAATGGTTTGGAGGCTGGACAAAGTATCGTTATTGCTCTCTCCGTCATCTGCTTCAATATAGTCGAGCTCAGTGGTGAGTTTTTTCTTCGCTTTTAGGAGACAAATTTCATGTCATTTCAGCTAGAGAATCTGGGTGTTATCTGGTGAAAAGATGGGTTAAAAGCTTTAAATAAACGTTCTCAACTTACTTGCTTTTATTTCTCTTCCAATACTTTCGTTCGGCTATACCTTCAGATTTTTTGGTGTCGGTTTGGTTCTTGAATTTTTGCCTTCTGATTTTGTCGTTATGCTTCATTAGCGTCTACTTTGGTGTTCCCAAAGGTAAAGTCTGTGTTTGAATTTCTATGTCTAGCTTTAATAAGGCCATTTCTTTATCTATGTCTTCACTTTGATTCCATCAAAATTTAAATTCAAGCCAATATTCAAGGATGTTCTATAGTGCAGTTACTCTTTTCTTGTAAACGTAGTGGCTAGACTTTGTTCTGTTTAAAATCAACTACTTTTGCTATGGTTTATTGTGTTTGGAAATATGAATAAGGTTGATGCGATTTCGCACGCAACTTCATGCTTTTTTCAGGTTCAGAGTGGAAGGCCCACTTATTCTCCCTCTACTTTTTGCTACCTTTCACGGGGGTCACTCTGGCCCTTTTACAGAGAAATTGGTAAATCATTAAGCTATTCCCTTAAAACGCTTGACTAATTGTTTTAAATCTAAACTTACTACACCGTTTTCTCACGTACTTTTTGAGGGTTTCCCCGTACTACCTAATTTTGCTGTAAGTCATGCAGATGAAATTAATGAATGGTACTAATAGTTCTCCAAAACTCTGTATATGTAGGGATAGTCTACTGTTCAGCCTATACTGTCATAAATTGCATTGTGTTTCATCTTATCAGTGCCGTAGTAAATATTTTTGTCCTTTTACTGATTAACTGGTTGATTAACTGAAGCTATTCCTCATCAACTAACTTCACAGGTATCCGGCTCAGTTGTTTGTCGGCGACACCTTCTGCTACTTTGCGGGGATGACCTTCGCAGTGGTATGCATCCTTGGTCACTTCAGCAAGACCCTCATGCTTTTCTTTATTCCGCAAGTTTTCAACTTCATCCTCAGTCTACCGCAGCTCTTTCGACTCATTCCCTGTCCACGACATCGCCTCCCAAGGTACGTTTCATTGATTAATCTTAAACTTTTCGCTCACAAATCAGTTAGTGGGATGTTCTTCCGTAAAATACGTCCATTTCGCACGTAGCCATCTGAATGTACATTCGACCCCATCGTCTATTTTACCCCATCGATATTCTCCTTTTGTAATGTGGTTTGACTCTTGCCACTAAAAATGGTTGACTTATTTAAAAAACGAATGAACTAAGGATCTTTTTACCTAAGAGATGCACGCAACGTACGTAGAGGTTGAATGCTAGGCAAATGAAACGCTTTTATTTCATCAATTGCAATTCGCTACTTGGCCACTTGTGGCCTTGACTTTTGTTACCTGCAGATTCTGTGAAAAAAGCGGTCTGCTGTACCCGAGCACAGTCTCGTTGCACGTGAGTTCTCTCTCGCCAATGGGACGCCTCTGCCTACGAACACTGTTGTGCGTGGGTTTCACCCACCGCAGCAGTCCAGACCCTGACTGCGTAGATTTAGACGCAAAGGAGGAGGCTGATTTAGGCGAGACAGTCACTATAGACAACCTAACTCTCATAAACCTCTTCTTACGCTTCTCTGGGCCCATCTCCGAGGCTCGTACCACAGTCACTCTTCTTGGCATTCAGGTGAGTACTCCCAGTGCTAATTTGGGCAGCGTATGCATTTTTATTAGTTGACAGGCAAGATAGCAGCATAATGTAGGTTTAGTCTCTCGAAGATAGGTTCCACTAGTTAGCTTTTCCACTTTTACGGGCTCAGTCTTCTAACTGAGCATAAACTCCCAACATAGGGATAGCTATTTTTGGCACGGGAGTTTGTAAACCAGGGGGTAATCTAAGGCAGGGCTTGTGCGACGGGTAGGTTAATCGCACCACCATTAATTTTCCACAAACTTATTGTAGGTGAACGTGATCGCATAAATAGAGTAGTCGGGTGAAAAGCGTATTGTTACTCCATCTGCGCTCCAACCATCTGTCTTTTGTTTGTGAGCGTTCTACTTATGACGCGCCATTCTTATTACTGTCAGTTGGCAAAATGCAGTACTGGTTAGTAGAATTCATCCAAATTCATCCCTTCGAAATGCACCTTTTCGGTGCAAACATGTAAAGACACGGTCAGTTAACCTCACAATTCCGTATGAATAGAAAAGGCGCATTTGCCAGCTTGGACGCGATGATGTTTTACCGGGTCGAAGAGATTAACTCACCTTCAAAACGGTTGAGACTTTGGTAGGTCGCCGGGGAACTCTTGCAAACAATCGACCTCCTTGGTCTAAAATGGTCAAGATACATCAGTAGCGTCCCTGCTACACTACCTGTATGTCAACGAAAAGTGATTTTCTTTAGGCGATTGTGCTCATCTTTTCGGTTTGAGTCCTTCTGAGTGATGTGCATGATGCTGGTGAGGTGTGGATGCAAGATAGACGAGGCCATGTCGAAACGTTGGGTGGTTTTTGCGATAATTCATTCATCAACCATAACTTACTGCTGGTTTTTGCGCTACTATACTCTCTACTGTCGACTCTGCTGTTCTATTGTCTGTTGTAGATATTGTGCTCCTGCCTGGCCTTCGTGGTTCGCTATCCCATGGCGTTGAGTCTGTACGGCCAGCTGAATTGATCGCTTCTTTAAATAACTTGTCTCACTGCCTTCATATTTTGATCACATTACATAAATATGGAAAGTTGTTTTCATTGAAAGCTAACAGTAACTTTCTTTTCTCCACACATCAATAAAGATGTAAGTTACCAACGGTAATACAGGCACATTCTTGCTTGGTTTTGTTCCTTTCTATTTGCTGCCGTGGTTTGAATTACTGTCAATTCCATCGCTGGGTGACACTTATATCACAGAATTGGAATACTTTCCCGGTTTCGGATGAGCTGTTTGCCTTCATTAAGTTAGAAATAGGGAAAATGCACGACTTCCTACTCGAGTTGCTTCGCTTCCCCATTTCATTTTCTAACCCCTCTTCTGTTGAAGGCAGTGTTCTGTTCTAATGGTAACCAGATAGATTTGAGACGACCTCAAATATTTCAATCATTGTTATGGCTATCGCCTCACGGAATCTCGTCAGCGCCCAGTGGCAATTGATTCTAATGACTACGAGAGAGGAGCCAGCAGCTTGGTTTCTATTCTTTACCTTGGTTTCCCTTTCTGTTCCCAAGTTTTGATAAATAGCTTCGCCAGAATAGTCATTTTCACTTTGGAGTTGACTGCAACAGATCAGAACTGTTTCACGTCACATGACCAAATATATGGTGAAGGATGACTTTGGTTACTGTTGGCTTTCTCGTTGATGAATTGATTCCCTTAACAGTATTTCAGGTGTGCAATTAGCTTCAAGAAGGCTCTTTGTTCGTTCAGGAGCTGCTTACTATGCCAATTCATTAAATCCTGTCCTTTTGGACACAGCTCGCGCGTAATATCACAAGTAAACCGGAAGGAGGATATTTCCCCGATGTCATGCGCTAAATTGTACGATTGGCTTGGGGTTGGTGTCATAGCTAGTCGTGTCATCCGACGGC